CACCTAACCCAACAATGCTTGCTGAGCTTTGATTTCCCATCTTCACAATACCAAAGTCACCAGACTTGTAGTTCATGAAGTACTCTCTCCTAGGAACACAATGGTATGAATCCCCTGTATCTACGAGCCACTCTATGTCTGAACTGTCAACATGATGACACTCACTAGTTGCACATATCAAAGTGACCTCATCATCACTTTTAGAAGCGATTGCTGCAGTATTTTTATCATCTCCCTCCTTTTGTGAATTGTCATTCTTTTGTCTTTGTTCCCTTTTGAAGCGGGAAACAATACTTCTTGATATGACCAGGTTTCTTGCAATAGTTGCATGTAGTCACATTTCTCCCATCACTGGATTTGGACCTGTTCCTTGAGTTATTATGACCTTTGGGACCCTTACTCTTGCTTCTTCCTCTGTTCTCAACAATAAGAGCATGTGAATTATCAACTCCCATCTCCTTTCTTCTGATTTCTTTATTAAACATGCTATCTTTGATCACATCCAAAGATAACACACCATTCGGAGCAGAGTTACTAATAGTCACAACCAAGGTCTCCCAACTATCTGGCAAAGAACTCAACAAGGACAAAGCTTGCAACTCATCATCAAGAACAACTTTCATAGTAATCAACTTGTTAATAATATCCTGAAAGTCATTAAGATGCTCAGAAACAGACTTTTCACATTTCAATTTCAAATTTACAAGTCTTTTAATCAATGAAGCTTTATTATGAGCGGTCTTCCTTTCATAAAGACCTTCCAACTTCTTCCACAATTCATAAGGGTCGGACTCTTGCGACACATGGTTGAATATGCTTATCAATCCATTGCCTAATCGTCCCCAAAGTCTTCCTTTTCAACTTTTCCCAATCTTTAACTTCCATTTTATCTGGTTTAGATGGTTTGGAAACACTACCATCTGGATTAGTGACAGATTCAATTGGGTCAAACAAGTCTTTGCAATATAACAAGTCTTCCATCATAGGTCTCCAAATTGAATAATTAGTTGATGTCAATTTAACCATCGAGCTACTACTACTCGACTCCATAATGTGATTATATTAACCACGGCTCTGATACAAAGTTGTAGGGGTCGGAAGAGGTCACTACGACACTCACTAAATCACCAACTCAAGACAGTCAACCAAATATCCAAACCAATCAACCCAAAATATCACACAACAAGAATAAGAAATATGGACAACAATATTTCACTCACAAAGCATCAATAATAAGCGGAATAAAATGTAAGCAACACACACGAATTATACGTGGAAAACCCCTTCGATGTGAAGGATAAAAACCACGGGACCTCTTGAGGAGTCCACCCTTAATATTCTCTTATTGATGATAAAATTGAGAGTAAAATGAACTCAATATAGTTCACAACAATTCACAACCCACCAACAACAATAAACAATAAGAGATTGAAAATTAGAGAGCAAAAGAGTAGAATTCACCCAAAAACAGCTGTTTTGTCCAGAGACGACGGACAAATTACAAAAGTCTGCCCTGAAAACTCCGAAAATGAAAACCTGACTTCTCTCTATTTTTGTGTGTGTATCTTTCGCTACTAGCTGCCTCACTTGGTCACTTGTTTACCATAAGATTTCCCATAAAGCTTCCAAGAGAAGCCACAATTAAAGTCCCTAAATTGGACTTAATTCAAACTAGTAAAATGTAATAAAATTGGACCAAGTAAATGGACCAAAACAAGATACATTTTACTTCAATTGGGTTGGACCCATAACAGAAACACCTCCAGAACCTGTGAATAAGGTCTGTTAAGCACTTTAGGCAATGTAGTATTGTTGCTGCAACTAAACCACATAAGGAATTCTGATGAATTGAATGTTTAACAATGACATCATATTACCATTAAATTGCAAAGATTGTGAAAATAATGAAATCAAAGAGAGAATGTGAAGACAGAAAGAAATTCCTAGAATCTGAGAGAGAAATAAAAGAATCTGTGGGACAAAATCAGATATTGATTTCCATTGAATAAATTTTATTTTAAGCATGATTGACTCCTCGTATAAATTATACAAGGATGTTTCTACCAAGGAAATTAGTATGAAGAAACATAATAACTAATCAACAGCAGCAATATGTCATGGTCTAACAGCAAAAACAAATTTTCTGAGGCATGTGAGCTCTGCATACAGCATAAGCACAAACTGTATAGTTGGTGTGACGATGCGTGATTGTCATTCTGATTGCGTCACTTTTTTTTTTTTTCTTTTTTCAAATATTGTACTGTTTTAGTATGCACAGATGACTAGTAAATAGTTCTAATAGCCTGATTAGTGATCACTAAAATCCTTCACAAACCATGCAAACACTTTTCTAGGGCAGTTGCTCCAAAAAAAACCTGATATATATACTATATCTATCAAAACTGATTAAGATATAAATATACGAAGTATGAAATCAAAATGAGTTAAGTTTAAAATGCATAGGAGAATTACTTGTAAAAAATAGCAAAAGTTCAGCCAAAACAATTACCAAACAATAGCTTATTAGCATGGAGCTGAAAAGCTATAAATATAAATGAAGGAAGCAGAAGTATATTTGAAGAAGAGTTGGTACTAGTTAACCAAACAATAGCTTATTGCTGTAGTTAACTAATTTGATATGGCTATTAAGGAGTATTATTACATGAATGCAACAGTTGGTCAAGCTGTTTCATTAAACTAATGACCGCCAAAATGAGCAAAAAAAGTCCTCCCACCATTTCATAATATAGTTCTAGTTTTCGTTTTTGGGTATCCCTATTTTAAATCTTTCCTTGGAAAAAGAAGTGACATAAGCAATAACGAGCAAAATACACAACAATCCAAGAAGACTAAGATAAGTAATACAATACTCCATATTTTGCTTCAGGGGCTAAGTATGAAATTATCAAACAATTGCAAGTCAGGAAACGCGTATGTGGAGTAACAGGTAGTGGTGCTACTGATGTCCCTGCCCTTAAGAAGGCTGATATTGGCATAGCCGTGACAGATGCAACAGATGCAGCTCGCAGAGCTTCAGACCTTGTCCTCACAGAACTTGGTCTTAATGTCATCATCACAGCTGTGCTAATATGTCGTCAGATCTCACAGAAGATTAAAGATTACTCTGTAAGCTATTTACCATTACGATTCCAATAACTATCTTACTTAGGCTATGTCCTTTTATCAATAAAAATCAAATTAAAAGTATAACAATTACACTAGTTGATCAACAAAATACCTTTGTGAGGTGTAAAAATCAGGTGAAAAGAACAGGGCCTAATACATAATTTTGTCCCCGTTGTGCTCTCCTTCATTGTAATACTGTCAATACATGACTCATTTATTTCATCTACGAGTTAATTTTTTTTTCCCTTCTGTTTTCAGATTCACACCTTTGCAATAACTGTCTACACGACTGTAAGCAACTAATCCTTTAACTTCGAAACATCAAACCTGCTAAAAGTTTCAATTGACTCCGCTTAACACTTTTTCCTCATGTTATCGTGTTACAGCTTGGTTTCATGCTGCTGGCTTTCATATGGAAATTTAATTTCCCACCCATAATGATGCTTCAAATTGTTGTCTTCAATGAAGGTGTGTCTTATGTATCCTGTGCTTACATGTTTATCAATAAATATTTTTAGGCCTCGTTACAACGAGGCCTTGGTCTTGGACTACTGAGATGTATCTATAGTGATGCAGTCGATTTTGAAAGTATTCTTGTATGTAACAGAGATCATTGCATTGCAGTTCTAAGCTGTACCTATGGAATGTATCGGACGAGACATTCTCTTAAGGTGCCTGATCATTGGGGGCTTCCTAGGTGGTTATTTGGCTTTCATGACCATCTTTTTTTTCTGGATAGCATTCGAGAAGGATTTCTTTCAGGTACAAAGATCATTTCTATTTACTATATATCTATAGAATTGATATTAATCTGCATTACTCTTCATTCAAAAATAAATTTGGAACTAAACCGGGGTCTTTTTAAGGAATTAAGTTCAATTACACTGTCAAAAGTTAATTTTGTTCTGTATTTTGGAACGGGTAATTCTTTGTTTCTCATTGTGAGAAACAAGTTTTGTTTCTCATGGGATATGTGTCAAGATCTGGGGCTCCCACTCATGACACATACACGGTCCCCACCAGTGAAAAACATCATATTATTTTCCAAAATGCTATTATGAGAAACAAAAGTGTTTCTCATAATGAGGAACTGGGGGCTCCCTCGGTTGGAACGCTCTTAAACAGAAATGTAGTATATAGATGGAGTAATATATGTTTATCTGCTTTCTTGATTTTTGTAGCGGGTGTTTGGAGTGACGAGCCTCATGGAAGCAGCTCATAGCAGTGACTACAGAAAGCTTGCATCTGCAATGTACCTTCAAGTTAGCATCAGTATACATGGCCTAGTACTTGTGACTCAATCGCGAAGATGGTCAAATTTGGTTTATGACGCTTGCTATTTTCTGATGTGTCTGTGCGTTCACCTGATAATCACATCGTTAATTTTCCTGATTATGACATGATATGTTTGCATTGCTTCCTTTTTGGTGCTTGGACAATAAGCTTAACTCGCTTCCCATTCTTGGCAGTTGGCAACTGTCATTGCTGTTTATACCGATTGGAGCATAATCCAAGGGATCGGATGGGGTTGGGCTGGTGTCATTTGGCTCTATGGCATTATATTCTACGTACCACTCATCGTTATCAGGTTGTTCATTCATTACGCTATGAGTGAAAGCGCCTCTGATCATATCAAGCAAAGCGATTGGTTGTCTAATTGAGCAGCAAGTCCAACCTGTTTTATTGTATATAGATTAATGGTTCGCCTGCCTAAGCTCATCATGCAGTACATTGCGATTTTAAGTGTAGCTTACATTTTCTTTTGATTCACTATTTACATGTGACTAAGCTAACCTTGGATTTTGCCAAGCGTTCTCATTTATTTTTGAGAGTATGATTATTAGTGTCAGACGTTTTTGTTTTGGATCGGGATATATAATATAGAGATGCACAAATTCTTATATGTGGCTGGCCATACGGCGTGGCCAACCATTTTATGATTACTTTGTTAATATTATAGGGGTTACTCGATCAGTGTTACAAGAGTTACTTCGTCAGTGTTATAAGGGTTACTCACTTACTCGGTCAATATTACAAGGGTCAGTCGATAAGTGTTTTAGGAGGGTACTTTATTTATTTTACAAGTGGCCAACCGCGCATAAGACGAGCTGATTGTAATAGATGTGTAAAGTCCTTATGGATTGAGTTGTTAATGTGAGAGTGACTAGTTAAAAATTTATCACAATGTGTATGAAGGTTATGAATCCCCATGGTCAATCCATAAACATTTTTCCAATGGAAACTTTATTAAGACTTTCAAATGAAGTAAGTACACTTTTCAAATACAACACAACAAAATCAAAGGTTAAAAGCATGGATAATGATACACGTAGTATCATCAAGATATAATAAACCACAATGTCAGGCTATTTCGTTTTTTGTTTACATGAAAGTATATCAACAAACGAGCTATATAGTTGTAAGCCATCATTCTTTGAAGTGTATACAAGTTGAAACGAAAGGCTTAATTGCTTAATAAGCCTTCAAGTATCGATTGGTGACCCCTGTACTTGTGTTCGGCATATGAACATGTGTACAGAGGTCGTGTGGAGGACAAATATGAGAGAATGTAATATTACACCCGGACAAAGGAAGAAATGTTTCCAAGGAACGAAGTCTAAAAACAACTTCGAGGGGAGACCTTTCCTTGAGTAAATCCGCGAGCATAGCTGCAAGTTGAAATTGCTGGTTTACTCCCAAAGGTTAACCTGATATCTTGCAGTTTGATCCCTTTGCATGGATTACTCGGACTACAAGTAAATTGTATTGCTTCTTTGCGTCTCGATGTACCCTTTATGTTTATGTAACTCACATTATTTATCTTCACTCCTGAATTCTGCCATGAAAAAAAAGATAGTATATGTGAGCAAAAGATCAAAGCCGACGTGTATGTAACTTTGATCAATCATTTTATTTTATTGGATTCATTTCATGTGCACAAGTGAAAAATAAGTTAAGCCTACGAAAAATGAGTCAACTTAACCTAGACCGATAGCACACAATTACTACCTTATAATACTTCCTCCATTTTTTTATTAAATGTGTCACTTTTTATATATGGAAGTTTCAATCTAGATGCATCACTTTTTCTTTTAGTCAATAAATATCTCTATTTCTCTCATATCACATGGACCCTCTATATTTTTTCTCTCTATCTCTCTCTATTATAAAAATTGTCTAAGAGTCCGGCGCAATTTCAAAAGTGATGCATCTAATAAAAACCAGAGGAAGTATATGGTAGGTGTATAGTAACAATAAATCTACAAATGTCAATGTGTTGCAACATCGTCTATCAATTTTTCTCTTTTGAAATCTTGCGCTATTTAGAAATGTTACGTGATGAATTATACGTAGTATAAGATGAGACAGAGTGTGTACAGAGTACTACTTGGCCAATTGATGCAAGAATTATTACCTGTCGAGGACATTGGTTATTAGGGCAGTATATTTGATCAATGAGGATGGGATAATAGACATTTTCCATGATGATGTTGCGAAATATGACATTACGGACAAAGCTGTCGCTTGGTCTTGCCCATGATTTGATTCTAACACCAAATGTTGTCCTATAAAATACAACGTTCGATACAACTATGTTTTGTACACCATCTTCATGTAAGCTGTTGCCCATGCTTCCAATACTGCAATACAAATAATTATTGATAATTTAGATACGTATTCTTATTAAGCAAATATGGATAACATGACGGTCAATAATACGTTAAATTAATTCTTCCGATAATTGATTTCATACTTTAACAAATAATATATCTTCATACACAATGATTTTACGTTTTTTTTAAAATAATAAATTAGAACTTGGGGTGTATGTTTTCATAAAAGTATTTTACTTATAATTTCTGAATAATAAAATCTTGAGAGTTGATCAGAAAGTTTATAAGAGCAATCAAATTAGAAAATGTGAGAGAAGTTGATCAAAGTATAATAATCTTTCATTTGTACTAGTGTACTACTATGTACGTAGCAACTTAATTATATATATATATATATATATATATATATATATATATATATATATATATATATATATATATATATATATATATATATATATTTTTTTGAGGGAAGCAACTTAATTATATTGAACCTCGATAGATTCATATTCAACCTTAAATATTTGCTTAAAACCTGATCGTTACTCCTAAAACACCAAAAATATTAATATTTGGCTGGAGTTTACTTCAATTTAATTGGCTAACCACCTTCAATCGTAGGTTTTACAGGAGAATTAAGACTTTTAATTTTTTTTTTTTTAATATTATGTATTATCATTGGATCCATGCTAATTACTTCATCTATTACCTTTTAAATTTGCTCTGCATTATATGACCCCTCAAGATATTATTTAATTAAAAATTTATTGTGGTATTTTGTATTGGCAGTTAACTAGTTTAGAATATCAATGCATTATTACTTATCAGATTTGATACCAGTGCATACAAAAATTCAGTAAAATTGTGTGAAAACTTAATATAAGATGACGGATAGGAGGAAAGGGGTTAAATTAAAGGAGAAGCTAATACCTTATACCATGGCCAGGACCGCAAGCAATTTTATTAACAACCATGTTTTTGGTTCCAGGTCCAATGGCAATACAATCATCTCCTGTTTTAATTACGGAGTTGTAAACAGAAATACGATTAGAGTTTTGAATGTTCATGCCATCAGTGTTTGGGCTGCCGCCCGGAGCTCTTAGTGTCAAGTAACTTAGAGCCATATTATTGCAATTCTTGATGCTCATGTGACTCTTTTGGCTGTTCATTGATTTTAGCCCACGTACCACTATGCCACCGCATGATACAAACGATATGGACTGCCCCAGACAAACAAACAAAAATGTAACTATGAGAAATTTGAGATTGGTTAGTCATAACAATGCTAGCTATATATTTATAATAACGTAAATGAGCGAGTGATAAGATTAAATGGCTAACTGTTAGCTAACAATTACTTGTCATAGTACATACTCAGTGTGCGAAGTATGAGTGTGTGACATGCACGCACCAACACATGAATGACATGCTATATAACTATGAAACTATGAACAAAGAAGGAAGTGTACCTGAGCTCCATTGTAACAATATCCATTATGCTTCCTACATGACCAAAAGGAATGACCTCCAGCATCAATGGTACCACCATTAATAGTTAGCCCATAAATATTGTAAAACATAAGCCACACATTTGAACGTGCCAACACACGGTAATCCGATGGGCCAATTATTGTACCCCTCATTCTTAAGGTTACATGATTTCTACACGGTCCGTTAAAGGACATAGGTCGGACCACAAATCTACCTGATGGTACATCAAGTATAACACGCTTAACCGATCCACACGCCCAAGCCCACGCCTTTTGGAAGGCTTGGGTTGAGTCGGTCCGGCCATCTCCCCTTGCCCCGAAAGCCACCACACTATATGCCTCATTTGGCTTTACAAGAACAAGTAATAAGAGAGAAATAACAAAGAAATAAACCTTAACCATCTTCCCTATACAATTATGTTTGAGAGGAAGATGTTTAAGTTTGAGGCTCTTGTTTAATTTTGCTATGATAAATTGATAAGTAACTTGACTTATATATAATGAATAATTGGGTGTAGAGTACGTGTAAATCTTATTATAAATGATTGTAAGTCAACTAATCTAGCTAGATCATGCATGTTAGTAAATTACGTTATCAAATACGTACTAAGCATGTGAAGATGCATACTTAATTAGTGATTATTCATGAGAATCTTACAGAGTTCCTAAGAAACAATAATGCAATAGCATAATTAAATTTATAATCAATGTATACTCATTAATTTGGGTAATGAGCCAATTATGACCTACAATCGTATCCTCAACTTGCAATCTTTGAAGTGTACAATATAAGCTAGGAATATTTTCACGTATTTATTGATTTTATGCATTTTGATTATCCTTGTACTTAATAATGTCTGAATGTCCTCATTGTTGATTTGTCGTTAATAAGTTACTTGGTGAAGGGTACTGTGTTTTTAAACTCATTTTTAACTCATTTAAAATTTTAAACCAATAATTGGGAACTACCACTTCATAACGTCAATTTAGGTACTTAAAAGTAGAGGTAACGAACACTAAATTAACCGACCAGATTCGATTCGACCTAAAAAAAAGCCGATTCAAATTTGACTCGTATAAACACAATAATTTAGCGTGACTCAACTTTGAAATAATTTGACCCGACCTGACCTAACCCGGCCTTATAGAACTCGTCCCAAGTACTCGAATTAACACCTCTACTTAAAAGACATGGGAAGGGTAGAACTATATAGACACTATAAATACTAATCACTACATGTACAAAGTTTAATAAAAAGTAAGAGAGAAAGTTTACGTGATGAATAGGTTTAAGAAAAATGTGGTTATAAATCTTATAGAATGTGTTAATATCATCCGAAAGACAAGTTAATTAATGATAACATAGCATATGTTTTACGTAATTGTTAGTCTATTGTCCTACAAAAAATTTGTACTTGATCGATATGAAAAATACTAATTAAAAAGCTTAGATTAACCTTGGTGAATACGATGCGTTCAATCTAATGCATTTCATTTACTTGGACCATGTTAAATTGTTAATAGCTAGCTTAAAACTATACAAGCATGAAGCATATGACTACAATTATGACAAGTTATAACTTAAAAGATGTGATGTTTGTATATACATATCTCACGTATGCATGTACGTAGATCTGGCATCGATCATATATTATCCCTTTTAAAATTTATAATGATTTAGCTTCATTTTAAAGGGACTATTATTTTGGTATTCATATAGAATTTGTACTCAGCAAATTAAAATGTAGAAGCTGGCTTCGCAAACTTAAAGCCGCATTTAAGGGAAAGTAAGTGAATATTGCCATGTGATAATTGAGAACAAGCTAAGTACAGGTCATAATATAAAGTACTAATAGTACATAATAGTTGAATTTTAGAAATCCAAGTAAGACATAAAAACATGTGTATTATTAAGCCGTCAAAGCCTCTAAGGTAAACCATAAGTTAACTCTCGCAAATGTCGCAATGTGATGCGCGAAGATGTTCGGCGTTTCGCCGTTTCATAATGTTATCACTAATTATTGTACGATTTGTATTCAACGATTTCAGATATAACTTTGAAATTATTTTCCTTTGAATTTTATTGGTATAATTTTTGTTAAATTAATACTATTTGTCATTAAATGAGTTTAGTATGTTTCCCCTCAAAAAAATTGAGTTTAGTATGTAATAGGCAGTATTGACGGTGTTTGGGGGCCCAAAGAGTAACTTCAAGTTGGGCCGATTGAAAAGAGGATAACTAGGCCCAATAGAAAAGGAAATAAACCCATATGCATGGCCCAAATATTAACACTCTGAGTCTTTGACCAATACCTCCCTCTCTCATATTTTTTATTTTTTACGTGGTAAGGTCAACCGGACCCCAATCGAAGGCTTCTATCATAACAAATCTAGCTCGCAACACCCTAGAGGGGTAGGGGGTGGGATTTGCTGCTAATTAACATCGAACCTCGAGGATGCGAGGCGACCTCTTGTGCCACTACGCCAAGGGGTCTCCTTCATACTTCCCTCTCTCATTAATAATTTGATAGTAGTATAGTGAACCAAACTAACTTTAAAAAGTAAATGAATTTTTAATTCATATAGTTGGGGTGCTGATTCTCATACCACTCCATTCCAACCTTTTGAACCAAACGCCCCTTGAGTATCTGTATCAGATAAGGTAGTGGTTGAATAGTTCGTTGTTACCTTTATGTGCTTGTATGGGTTGCACTTATTAGACATAAGCAATAAAAATACTTAAGGAATGCTTAGATCCCTTATTGTTTGATTAAAATGAAATTTGCAAAATGAAGAAATTGCAATTAGCTACGAATTTTGAGTTCAATCTCATATATCATAGGAAGTTAATTACCTCACCTCCCCTTAGTCATTTAAAATTTACATCTATTACATGATATGCAAATATCCTTATACCAACCAGACAAGTTTAACAAATTCCTAGGAAATACATGAAAAACTTACTTCCTATATTATGTAAAACTATCATAGGAATTCAATTCCAATGCAACCAAAAAAGCAATGTTAAATATGCAGAGGAAAAAAAAAATCCAACTACCTCTCTAATTTTTTAAAGGCTAATAGTTTTTAGCTTTTGATAAAGGCTACATTTGCACTACTGAATATTATTCCAACGCCAATACGTTGCCTAGCACTCAAATTTTTATTTAGTAGTGTTTTGACTCGGTCAATACCTATAAACTACTAAAAAATACTGCTAAACATGCCCTAAATCATTCTTTAGTCTCGTTCATTTTCTACAAATTTTCAATTACTAATTTTTTTGTTAGATGCTTATTGTTTTAGCCTACATATACTCAGCTATGCTTATACATTTGTTAATATGCTTTAATTTTATTATTATTATTATCTTATCTCCTCCATCCTCTTTCGTCGGTTTTAATCGATGGAAAGCTTCAATCTTTGTTTCTTGCGTTCCTTTCTCTTTATTTTGTTTGTTTTTAAGTTTTTAATAACTCTTCCTCTTCTAAGAAAAACTTTCTCCCTTAAAAGATAGGGTTTTTCTTTCGATCTAGAGGGGGATCTTTTCTTCTTCGAAAGACAGGGTTTTTCTTCTCTTCTTTTGAGGGAGGATTTGCTTTTTTTGCTTTGTTGTATTATTATTGTCATGAAATTGTTTCATAGGTGAAAAATTATGTAGGATTGCAATTATCAATTTCTCGAATACAGTCAGAGAATCAGATGAAAATCATCCTCAAGACTACAACAAATTGTTAGATTAGTCTCATCCATCTCATCTTTTAGACTCTCATATTCCTCCATAAGTATTCTTGCAATTATACAAACAAAGAAAAATCATTTTTACAATTATGTTGTCCCTTAGTCAAAAACGTCAATGACAAATCATTTTCCATACCAAAAATGTTTACCATTAAAACATACAGAGCCCTAATGTAATAATAAAACCATTTATATATAATCCATCAATCATTGAAGTTTATACATACAATTAAGCTAAGTTTAATCAAGAAGCTAAAATATTAAAAAAGCTTCTTTAATTTGTATCAATTTGTGATTAACTCATAAGAAATGAGTTCTAATATAAGCAACTTCGAGGGGTAACTTTGCCTCGACTACTTCCACGAGCATAGCTGCACTTTGATATTGCTGGTTTATTCCCAAAAGTTAACCTTACATCTTTCAATTTGATCCCTGTGCATGGATTGCTTGGACTACAAGTAAATATTATTGCTTCTTTGGTCCTTGATACTCCTTTTACATTTATGTACTTTATATTACTAATCTTCACTCCGGAATTCTGTCAAGAAAAAAAAAAAAAAAAAAGTAATTCGTATGTTTTAGTAATAGATAATTGATGTGTAGTAATATAAATTAGCTTATGCATCGTATAAATTAAAGTAAACACCGACTTGCAGTGATTGTTATCAACCCTAGCCTACATGAAAGCATATAAGGTGGATTTTGAAATACATGTCTAAACATATCACGTTCCATTATTCATTTAATTAAGTGGATTTAATTATGTTGAAAGATTTATGGAGTAAAATATTACCTGGTGAGGGCATTGGTTATTTGGACAATATTTTTGGTCGATGATGATAGGATTATAAACATTGTACATGTTGAGATTTCGAAATGTGATGCCGCGAACAAAACTGTTGCTAGGTCTAGCCCATGACTTGATTCTTACACCATTTGTTGTCTTCCAAAACCCTACGTTTGACACTACTACATTTTCTACTCCAGCTTCTCGTAGGCTGTTTCCCATGCTACCGATGCTGCAAATTAAAACAGAAAATTATAGTTTAATTTTACATCGACATTCATACAATTAAGATATACAAGTAACTCTTGTGCATAAATAAATATGATATTCCATATATATTTTGTTTAGGGGGTGAAGCCGTGAAGGCATAGGAAGGGCTAGACTCCGAATATAGGTATTTTGTGACGGACTAATTAAAGAAGTGCAACATAATTTTACAAACCTTGCTACAACAATTAGAATTAGGATGTGATACGAAATGGTTGTATAGCATAATTATGAGTTGTTTTCATTTTTTCAATACCCTTAATGCCCTATATTATCTTACAGATTACGAGATGTTGTATAACTTGTATTGCACCAACACAAATATGTGGTGCAACTAGAAATAATATGGGCAAATACAACTTTCGGATATAGAAACGAGGCTATTTTCTCCCTCCGACAAATAAAGGGAAAACAAAAGGAGACTATTATTGCTTAAGATCGAACTCTAACTCCTACACCTCGTAAGATTCAATATAGACCTAGATTCTTGCTTGAAGCCTGACTCAACTATTAAAAAATAAAGAAGATTTAAAAGTAAACACAAGAGTTAACGTAGATAATCACACCCTTAATTGCTTCACATTGTACTAGTACTAGATTCAATTTTTACAGCAGGCTTCCTTAATTGAAGGCAGTAGTTGCAACAATTATATACTTAAAATATCAGGCATTGAATGGATCCTTATTATATGCTAATCAAAAACTCCGTATTTAATTGCTTCTCCATCAAATGAAAAGGTAATCCCTTCCTTCCATTCGAAATCAATTATGACTTGCATATATTTATAATTTAAACTACTAACGTGACACTGAAATACGAACAATAGAATAGGCCGGTTTTGTATTACATAAAGAGAAATAGATCAGAAAAAGAGGAGACATACCTAATACCATGGCCAGGACCGCAAGCAATTTTATTAATGACGGCGTTTTGGGTGCCAGGTCCAAGGGCAATACAATCATCTCCGGTTTTAATCAGCGAACCATAAATGGTGAAGTGATTAGTGTGTTGAACGTTAATGCCATCGGTGTTAGGACTCCCACTCGGAGCTCTTAGTGTCAAGTGATTGAGGTTTATTTTGTTGCAGTTCTTTATACTCATGTGGCTCTTTTGGCTGTTCAGTGACTTCAGGCCATTCAACACTACGTTTTTGCATGATACAAATGATATAGACTGCTCCAAATTAAACAAAAAATACAACAAATTATGAGAATGATATAGATTTTGAAAAAAAAAAAAACCAACAACAACAATATTGCTATATGCTAAAAGAGCGAGACTAAAAAGCTATGTAATCGTATAAGCCAATTTAAATACTTTATTAATGAGGAATACTTCTTCGTATATGATAATTATTGAATTTAATACTTCGCATGAATCATAATGTGCGTTTACTTACGAGTTACGACCTCAATTTAACTAAACATACTTGTTCTTGACATCTAACAAATACATACTTCTACATTCAAACGGCGTAACATGCATGTATACTATCTTACATGCTTGGTTTTTGCCTTGCATGACCAAATACTATTTCTTAAATAAAATCGATCTATTTATTAAATTACGAGGTGTTAGATAATTTTTACAAAAAGTACATTTTATCTATAATAAGTTACAGTACTTGTACTTGATATATTATCAACTTACCAGCTTTCTAGAAACATATACTACATAAAATTTCCTAAACTCATCAACAGAAATACCACAAACAAATTATATATCCATTCAACAAATTTAAATTAGTAATGCATTATGTTTATACCTGTGCTCCATTGTTACAATACCCTATACGATGTCTGCATGACCAAAAGTCGTGACCCCTAGCATCAAGGGTACCACCATTGATAACAAGACCATTAATATTGTAAAACATTAGCCATACACTTGACCGGGCCAAAACCCGGTAATCCGATGGACCGATGATTGTACCCTTAATCCTTAACGTGACCTGTTTCCTACATGGACCGTTGAAGAACATGGGCCGGACCACAAACTTTCCATGTGGTACAATGAGTGTGACGGGCCTTGTCGATCTACAAGCCCAAGACCATGCCTTTTGGAAGGCTTGGGTTGAGTCGGTCCGGCCATCGGGCCTTGCCCCGAAATTTACTACACTCTTTGCTGCATTTGGCTTTGCTAAAACAAGTACTAAAAAAGAGATGATAAAGAGCTTAGTACTATTGTTAAGAGGAAATAACTTAACCATCTTTCCTTAGCAAATTTTAGGGAAAGAAGGCTAGGTGCTATAATTGTGGCTTTTTAGTTGCTATAATAAGTGTAATATATATAATGTTGATTCTAGATCTTAAGAATGATTATTAGTCAACTAATTAAGATAAATCATGTTATTTTAAGTCTTTTATGTCCTTTAGTACGTATGGTGTCATTGCTTATGTTCGAGTAATCTTTATGAGCATGTGAAGATGTATAATTAATTATATGATTAATGTTAATGAGGATCTTATTAGTATTGTCTCCCTTTTAAACAATGCAAGAAAGAATATAGCCTACTTTTCTGCTTCATATTGTTTAATCTAATAGGTATTAATGTATTAAAACCTCCATAAAATAATTGAGACAAACCCTAGTTGACTTTATACTAGGTATCAAACATTTGAAGAATTATTAAAATGCGTTTGTGCTTAAGGATTGACAAGATTAGTGAGTCTAGTTATCACATCAATAGCTAGCTGGTTCAATATTTGAATTATGTTTAGGATATGTGTCCATATATTTCTATTGATATTAACTTCTACACTGCACGGGTAGATATAAGAAAATTGTGGATAAAGTAAGAGATGTAAAGTAAAAGGTAAGTGGGTGTACGAAATAAGTAGATAAAGTAGAAGAGAGTGATTGAAAAGATGTAAATAGAACTCCATATAAAGTAAGATGGATGATGGTATAAGGCTAAGAGTTTGTTATAATGGAATAAATTAAAAGTAATAAGCTAAATTATTTGAAATACGGCTCATGCAAAATAAAAAATGAGTATAATCTTCGGAAATAAAGGGAGTATTAATGATGTAAGATTAGTTCAAATCAATCAACTTTCTACCCACGAAGTAAACTTCATGCATGTAATACAAACATTATATTGTCATGATATCAATCTAATTGTCCAACATGTACTTAGAAGATAGAGGTCGTAAAAACATGCATTTAGAAGAGGTTGTAAGCAATTGAATAATCAAATTGAGAATTTACGAATTAGTACATAGACCTACCTATAACTCTATAACTCTATAATATGTATTGTCGTTGATTGGCCATTTATAAGCCACATAATGGCCAAAATTAGTGTCAATTATCATGATAATATTGCTTATTTATGCATGAAGAATAAATTGCAAAAATGTATAGTAGTTTTTAGGTGGTCTAGTCAGAAGTGCAAAGTTAAAGGCGGGAATTAAGGGGGAAGAATAACATGTATGATGCATGTGAGTTAGTAGGAGAAACAATCGTACAAATGAAATATGGAATTTTAGAAAATATAAAAAAATGGGTGATCCAATGAACATAAATATGTGTGTACAGTATATCGAGCCAACTTCGGTATGGACGAATTAACTCTTGCCACGTGAAACGTGGAGAGATGCCGGAGTACTTGTTGCCGTAACAATTGGCCATTGGATCTTATTGGAGAGTTCTACTCAATTTATTTATTTTTGCCGTATTATGAGTTCTCTCTTTCTTGTTGTACCTTTTCAGTGCTAGAAAGTACAAATTTGTACCTTCTAGTGAAGAAAGAATCAATGTATAAATGTATTACATATAATTTCGAGTTTACCTATAGCAATGTTACATATATGATTGACTGATTGTTTTATAGGCTCAAGTTTAAATTGAAAAGAAGTGAAACAGGATCTGTGTATATGAGCTGAGATTGCAAGTGGGATTGATGAAAAGAGATTGGGAGGAGTAGAGAACAAACAAATTGAGCAATATTAAAGGGATACCCTGAAAAATAATATGAGACAAACATAAAGGAATGGAGGGAGTTTGTAATATTATGATTCATAGTACAGACACAAAAATGTAAAACGCTACTTGAAATGATGAATAGGTTGAGATGGGAAATAAAATGAAATATGTATATGTGTTTAACTAGATCACAATAAGCTCACCTTTTGGAATATACAAATTTAGCTCATGGAAAGAGGGACCTATACTTTGTTACTTGGAAGTTGCAACATACTTATAGAGTACCATCTTTTTTTTTTTTTTTTTTTTTGCTAGTATTATTGATTTATGGTTCATCAGTGGGGTGAAAGAGAGAATGAATAATGGCTTTTCTTGATTTATTATTCATCAATAGGTAGTGTATTTATACAAAATCTAAGATTATAAGATAGGAAATAATTTTCTAAAAGATATCTACCATAACCATAAATAATATCTTTAACATAAATAAACCTAAATATATTATTCTCCTAATAAGATCAATACGGAAAATATATCACACACATATTTTCCGATATTGATAATATCATATCTCTAACACCCTCCCGCAATCGTAACGGCAGTAACATGAACGTTGCAATTGGAAATTCTTCACTTTCTTCAACTTTTTTTTTTTTAGATGAGAACGTTCAACTTTTCGAACCCATCAATCATCAACTTAACAGGAACGTCATTCTTTTCTATCCTACAAAAAAAACATTACAACGAGAACATCTCTTTTTCTCGAACTTGTCATATTTAATTTGGTATCTCCCGAACAAAACCAAGGTCCAATCAAATATTGGTTTTTCAGAGCAAACCACACTCAAGTCTCTTATTGGTTTTAATTTAGAGCAAAACTACACTCAAATCCAAAAAGCAAAATTATACTTGAATCATATCACAACTCTGTCTCATGGCACAAAGAGAATCACACACATAAACCTTGTCTCACGGCACAAGGAAAACCAATATATCTTGTCTCACGACACAATAGAGCCGAAAAATCTTTTTTTTTTTTTTTAATAAATAAAACTTAGATCGATGCCTTTGTTCATCTTTGCCTCAAGAGTCAAGACACCATAAACCCACTAGCTACCATTCAACCACTCACGTTCATCTAATTCATCATCACTGAACAGTATAAAAAATCCTTAAGAAAACATTAATATGCGAAAGCTTAAAAAATTATAGTTTTGTCCCACCGGTGGGTTTAATTTCCAACCCACCGGCAGGGAGGAATTTTTTTGAACGCTCCCAAGATCTAACCAGCTCTGATACCATGACAAATTGGGGTGAAAGAGAGAATGAATGGCTTTTCTTCATTTATTATTCATCAATAGGTAGTGTATATATACAAAACCTAAGATCATAAGATAGGAAACAATCTTCTAAAAGATATCTACCATAACCATATATCCTAAGATATATTCACTAACTAATATCTTTAACATAAATAAACCTAAATATATTACTCTCTTAATAAGATTAATACGGAAAATATATCACACATATATTTTCCGATATTGATAATATCATATCTCTAACAGTGACACATTCACACATCCTAATAAGTATTGTATATCAAACTTTTCACTACCTTGACATGTATGCAAGCGTAACTTGGAAGACGATAGTTCAAAGTTACGTTTATAGAACTTGCTTTCACTAACTTGCTTGATTTTGTCTATGTATGTAGTTGAATCAATATATATGGTGTAGAACATTTTTTTTCCCAATGGTAATTAAGGAGAAGGACAGACACCGACCATATCTAAACACACTTTTTTTTTTTTTAGTTCATTGAGGACCAAACGTTAAGGTGTTAAGGAGAAGGTAATAAAAGAATCTCTACCCCTAAGCACCATCATTTAGCAAGATTTGATCTCTAGCTATCTGAGATTTGATCTCTAGATATCTGAGATATGAACATAAGGAGTTCAAAGTATGTAGTTATTTTGTCAGAGTATCTAAGAAAAAGCGATTCAAACGATATACCGGATAGCACTATGCAACCCAACTTAATTTACCTAGCATATTGAACATAAGTAAGGAGTTCAAAGTATGTTGTTATTTTTCCATCATATTTAACCCTTACTTTTTTTTTTTGTTAAAAAAAAAAAAAAAAAAAAAAGCCTTCTTTTATTCTTCTCCTCTCTAGTCTTCTATGAATGATTAACAAATCATAACAAGGGCACCAAAATCAACATTAAAATCACACTTATTAGGATTGCAATGGATGATTGTACGTATTACCTTTTTGATATAGATTTTTCGTGTTTTTTTCTTTAGTTTTCGGGTCTATTTTGTGTGAATTGTTTGTAACGGACAACTCTTTTTCATGTGTATTGAATAAAATAGTCCTATTTGTGGAGAGTGAGGGATAGCTCAAGAGGTTAGAGTTTCCCTCCCGATCCCAGGAGATCTTGAGATCGATTCTCATCACCTGCCTTTGTGGTTCTCTAAACAACAACAACAACAACAAAAAAAAAAAAAAAAAAAAAAAGGCCTATTTGTTTGAATTGGTCTGATTTGAGGTAAAGTCTTATTTAAAAAAAACTTATTTTCAACCGAAATTATTGTAATTTGTACATATTGAGAGAGAGAGAAAAAAAAAAAGAACGAGAAATTCTCTTTGGTAACACTATGGTTTTTAATTTTATCAGTGGTGAATGGTGAATTGCAAAAAAAGTTATTATCCTTGGTAAACTCCAATTAATTAAACTAAGCCTTGGTGACATTAATGATGCTTGTTACTGATTGATTTTAAGCTTAACCATGGTTAACTGTTGACCTAATGACTAATTTAACCCTATTTTTTTTCCCTAAATCTGACTTTCCCTCCAAAAGTAATTGCCTTATATCCCCCCTAATCGATTTTCCCCTTTTTGATATAAACCTAATTTACACCATTTTCCTCAATTTCTCTCTATTCACCATGAAAAACACTCGTTCATCCTCCTAAATTAAGCCTATCACCATGGATGATAGGATAGCTTGGGCTAAGCATGTGCGCTGCGATTGTGTTCCCCCCTAGGTGGTTGCGGTGAAGATTTCAGAGACCACGAAGAACCCAAGAAGATTATTTTTCAAGTGCAGGGGCTGCGATTTTTTCGCTTAGTTGAAGGAGGAGGATATAATCAGGGTTGATGATGAATTGGAGGTTGAACAAGGTGTTATTCTTGCTGTTAATTCAAGGCTGGATGAATTACTGAACTTCATCAAATTAATTGTGAAGATGGCTCTAATTATGTACTTTGTTATGTTATCTGTTGTTGCAAAGTGATAAAATGGG